CAGAAGCCAGAGCACAGCTCACGGGAGGAGGGGGCGGACGGGCCTGGGTGGAGAAAGGATACCCAGCAAGTGCCCAGCCCCGAGGCAGAGGGAGTGGGGAGGGGTCTCCGGGTCAGATCGTGAGCAGCGCTCCTCTCGCGGGTCCTGGGCCAGGATCCTGCGGGTCGCTCTGGGCAAACACAACCTGAAGAAGCGGGAGGCCACCCAGCAGGTGCTGCGCGTGGCCCGCCAGGTGCCCCATCCCCAGTACAACCCCCGGACCCACGACAACGACCTGATGCTGCTGAGGCTGGAGCGGCCGGCCCGGCTGGGGAGCGCGGTCAGGCCCATCCCCGTGGCCCGGACCTGCGCCGGCCCACAGACACCCTGCCGCGTGTCCGGCTGGGGCACCACGTCCAGCCCCATCGGTGAGGACTCCTGCCCCCTGGAAAGGAGCGAGCTGGGGGCCCGGGGGGCTGGGCTCCGGGTCCGAGGGAGGAGGTGGTGGGCCCCCACATTCCAGGGTGCCTGGTGGAGGGTAGACCCCAAGTCCTGACCACTCAGTGCCTCCCCAGCCAGGTACCCCAATGCTCTGCAGTGCGTGAACATCAGCATCACCTCCCGGCAGCAATGTCAGCAGGCCTACTCCGGCGCCATCACCGACGGCATGGTCTGTGCGGGAACCCCGGAAGGCGGGAAGGACTCTTGTCAGGTGAGGCCCAGCGTGAGAGCCGGAGGAAGGGGGGGGGGGGTGTGTGGCTCGGGGCCGGGACTTCAATGCAAAAGGATCTCAGGAGCATCTAAGACAGTGGTTCCCAAACTTATTTGGCCTACCGCCCCCTTTCCAGAAAAAATATTACTCAGCGCCCCCTGGAAATTAATTTTTTTAAAAATTTTAATAGCAATTAAACAGAAAGATCTATGTATTGATGTTTCTACCTTTTTCGTAAAATATAGTTAAGAAAGGTGTAAATTAGAAACATTGAAGTTTGAAATGATGAAACTATTTATTGAACTCAGAATAGAAAGGGAATACAAAAAAAGTTAAAACAGATGCACCTGTGGCCATCACCGCCCCCCTGGATCGCTGCAGCGCCCACCAGGGGGCGGTAGCGCCCACTTTGGGAATCACTGATCTAAGACCTTGAGCGATTGGAAGAGCCGGGCGGCCTCCCAGCTGTGAGCTGAGGGAATGGATCTAATCCCTCTGTGCCTCAGTTTCCTCCTCTGTCAAGCGGAGGCAGCACCGCTTAGAGCAGTTGGCGGATCCGACGAGAGATGGTCCGTGGAAAGAGCGCGGAGCGGTGCCTACACGCGGCTCCGATCGCTGCTGTCCTTGTCCTGACCGTGCACCTGGGAATCTGTGCTCGGGGCCTGGGGGCACCTTACTCCATCCCCGGGAGATGGCTCCAGAGTCAGGGGGGTGTGATGAGCCACACACAGTTTTCTAGAGACACAGCTAAGACGAAGGGGGGGGGGGGCTCCGTGAGGCCCCGAGACAGCAGGGAGCAAAGAGGGAAGGAAGGGACGCAACCCTGGGGCTGATGTCTGCAGTCTTTCCATCCCCAGCACCCCCACCCCCCACCCCTCCCAGGTGTCAGCCATGTGCCTCCCCATCTCTGCCTTTTGGCTTCTCTATGCACATGGCTCTGTCCATCTGCTCACGGGTGTCTGCATTGGGGTCTGTCCCCCTCAGGGAGACTCCGGAGGACCCCTGGTGTGCCACGGGAAACTCCAGGGCCTGGTGTCCTGGGGGATGGAGCGCTGTGCCCTGCCTGGCTACCCCGGAGTCTACACCAACCTCTGCAAGTACTACGACTGGATCCAGCAAACCATTCTGGGCGCGTGATCACCAGTGTGAGGGAATATGGATGCCCATCTGCTGCCCAGACCTGCTCTCTCCACTCAAGAACAGTGGGTCGTCTCCCAGACCCAGGAGTCCAGGCCCCCAGCCCCCTTCTCCCTCAGACCCAGGAGTCCAGGCCCCCAGCCCCTCCTCCCTCAGCCCCAGGAGTCCAGGCCCCCAGCCCCTCCTCCCTCAGACCCAGGGGTCCAGGCCCCCAGCCCCTCCTCCCTCAGACCCACGCATTATTCTATTTATTGGGAGTTCAGGCCCCCAGCATCCTGGTCCTAACCCCTGGCTCAGAACTTCCCTCTCCCAGAGGGTCCCTCAGATGTTCTCTCCCCACCCCCACAGCATCATCACCCTCAGACACAGAGACGGGAGCATGAAGGCACCAAACTTGGCAACATATTCCGAAGAAGACAGTTTTCAAAACGCTTAGTATCTCTGTAAACCAGATGAATAATAATAATAAAAATGGAATAATCCTAGATTCCGTTCATCTGTTCATGTAATTCATCCAACATACGTGCACACAGCAGCTCCCCTGTGCACAGCGAGGCCGTGTCTGACCGGCTGAATGGGTCACCTGTTGTCCCCTGGGTGTTCCCTGGGGGTCTACCACACCCCCTTCCACTGGGATGGTGTGAAGAAGGAGCCCCCCCCTCCCCCCCCCAGCTCTGCAGTGTCACCCTGAGCAGGACCGCCCCTCCCTGGCCTCTGGGCTGGGTCCTGTGAGCGGGGACTGCTGAGGTCCAGGGCAAAGATGTGCTGTGTTTCCTGGAAAACCCTATGCAAATGAGCAGTCTTTTTCCTAATCAGATCTCAGGTGAAGAGAGTCGAGTTAATCACACTTTGAAGTTCAAGTCCTGGCAGGGCCCGGCTCTCAGCAGCTGTATTGGTGCATTTCCACCTGTCATCCCTGGCCTCGGTCTCCTCCCTCCCCAGCGGCACCGACGCAGATGGCCTCAGATGCCAGTGCACTGTTGCTTCTAACTTACAGGAAACCATTGTGTTATGAATTTCATCTTCTTTCTTACTTTCATTCATCGACAGCTATTTTGGGGGGCACCTACTATGCGCCAGACATTGGTCTACTTCTCTGGCTCCTACTGTGTGCCAGGCAGTGGTCTACTAATAGACACCTACTGTGTGTCGGACATTGGCTTATTATTGGGCATCTACTATATGCCAGGCATTATTCTATTTAGTGTGCCCCTACTGTGTACCAGGCACTGGTCTACTGATTAGGTACCGACTGTGTACCAGGCATTGATCTACTGATTAGGCACCTCCTGTGTGCCAGGCATTGGTCTACTATTAGACACCTACTGTGTGTCAGACATTGGCTTATTATTGGGCATCTACTATGTGCCAGGCATTATTCTATTTAGTGCGCCCCTACTGTGTACCAGGCACTGGTCTAATGATTAGGTACCAACTGTGTACCAGGCATTGATCTACTGATTAGGCACCTCCTGTGTGCTAGAAGGTGGAGCTGTGAATAAGTCAGACAAACCTAAATGCTTCTTCTCACAGAGCTTACCTCCTAGCAGGAGATGACAGACAAGAAATGAGAAACTTAATTTAAAAGTAAGGGAGAGAGTCCAGGTGAGTAAGAAGGTCGATAAACGCGGGCGGGCTGGGCAGCAGACCCAGTGTGTGCCAGAGCCAGCTCATAACCAGCCCAGAAGAGCCCATTGGCAAATTTTCAGGAATTTTGAGAGCGGGTTGCTAAACACAGCCATTGTTAAAAATTAAATTGCATAAACTTACAATTAAACGAAGGTATATTTAAAACAAAATCCAGTCCGGCTGGAGTGGCTCAGTTGGTTGAGCGTTGTCCTGTGCACCGAAAAGTTGCCAATTCGATTCCCAATCAGGACACGTTCCTGGGTTGCGGGTTTGCTCCCCAGGGACACGTACAAAAGGTAACTAATAGATGTTTCTCTCTCTCTCCTTTCCTCTCTCTAAGCATGTTCTTGGGTGAGGATTTAAAAAATGAAATAAATAAAACTGAAAGAGTATCTTTAAAAAAAAACACTCAAAACGAATCAATTCCTAACTATGTTTACCAATATTCATGCTTTGTCTATCACATTACATCTGGCGATAGTGGGCTTCTGAGTATCTTTTTTTTAAAAATATATTTTTATTGATTTTAGAGAGAAAAGGAGAGGGAGAGAGAGATAGAAACATCAATGATGAGAGAAAATCATTTATTGGCTGCCTCCTGCATGCCCCCTACTGGGGATCAAGCCCACAACCCAGGCATGTGCCCTGATCGGGAATCAAACCGTGACTTCCTGGTTCATAGGTCGATGCTCAACCACTGAGCCATGCTGGCCGGGCTGAGCATATTTTTTTCTGATTCAGTGTCAAGCGACTTTGCAATGGTAGGTTGATACCAACTGAAGGGGCAGTATTTACACTATAGAAATTGGCAAATGGGGCAGATCAGAGAGCTGTTAACCCCTCACCCACACACTACTGGACAGGTCAGCCTGGGAGCAACCTGCTGATCTTGGTGTCTGTCTTCTCATAGTTCTGTGCTGCGGGGGAGGGGGGGCTTGCACAGTGTGGCTTCATCAGTGCCCACGTGCTGTGCTGAGGGGACAGCACAGAATCAGAGAGTTCTGAGCTGGCAGCTCTGGGATCTGTGTGACACAGCAGCTCAGAAGATTTCTGGGAAATGTCCTGGCCAAGTTGCTCAGAGCATCATCCGGATACACTAAGGTTGGGGGTTTGATCCCCAGACAGGGCACACACAGGAATCAATCAGTGAGTGCATAAGTGGGTGGAGCAATCTCTCTCTCTCTCTCTCTCTCTCTCTCTCTCTCTCTCAAAATTAATAAATTTGCCCTGGCTGGTTTGGCTCAGTGGATAGATCATTGGCTTGTGGACTGAAGGGTCCTGGGTTCATTTCTAGTCAAGGGCACATGCCTGGGTTGCAGGCTCAATCCCCAGTAGGGGGCATGCAGGAGGCAGCCAATCAATGATTCTCTCTCATCATTGATGATTCTATCACCCTCTCCCTCTCCCTTCCTCTCTGAAATCAATTTTTTTAAAAGAATTTATAAAAAATTAATTAATTAAAAATAAAATTATAAATTTATTTAAATTTAAAAGAAAAAAAGACTGCTGAGCAATGGAGGCTGCACCTTCTGTTGAGGTCTCACACACACACACACACACACACACACGCACACACTGTGGCCAAACCAGCTCTGTGAGGGCAGGGAAGGTAAGCAGCTGTGTGTCTGGGTCGCGTCAGGCCTGGGTGAGACGAGGATACAGCCCTGTTGTAATTCTTGACCTGCCTCCTTCCATAAAGCTAAGTAAACATACCTCAAAGATTACTCTAATCTGATTTCCAACCCATACTCCCAGCTGTGGTGGTTGAGTACCATCTTTCATTGCTTCTCAGAGGCACATTTCTTTCACATTTTTAACGTTTCTAAAAGTGGGAGGGCAGCCCTGGGCACCAAAGGGTCTTGGGTTTGATACCCGGTTAAGGGCATATACCTGGTTTGCAGGTTCAATCTCTGGTCCTGGTCGAGGTATGTGTGGGAGGCAACCAATCCATCTCTCTCCTCCTCCTCCTCCTCCTCCTCCTCCTCCTCCTCCTCCTCCTCCTCTTCCTCCTCCTTCTCCTTCTCCTCCTCCTCCTCCTCCTCCTCCTCCTCCTCGTCGAATAAAGGTAGTAACCTAGATTAGGAGACGGAGGAATTGATTTAAAGACAAAAAATACAAAAGATCTATAAGATCAAGAGCTGGTTCTTTGAAAGGATAAACAAGATTATTTGAACCTCTAGTCAGGCTCAGCGAGAAGCAAAGAGAGAGGACCCAGATATACAAAATCAGAAAAGGAAGAGGTGAAATAACAAATGATCCCGCAGAAACACTAAACAAGTTATGAAAAATTTCATGTCCAACAAAACTAGGGGAACATAGGATGAGTTTGGATATATTTCTTTGCCCATATACAAGCCGTCCGGAAGGACAATCACGAAAAGTAACAAAAGAAAATCCTTGAATAGGCTGATAACTACCCCAACTAATTGCCACCAGTAATTAAAAAATCTTCCAGCCAAACAAAAGGCCCTGGTCGTGAATTG